CCCTTGCCCTAAGGGGACCAGCCCCTCCTGCACCCCCCTTCCCGGGCCGGGGAGGGGCTCCTGGGGACCCGCTGTGCCTCCAACACGCTCCAGGTTGGTCTGCAGTTGACCTTGTGCATAGTCTTTGCTTGACTCTGAGCAGGAAGAAGTGTTGGGGACCCTCCTGCCGGCAGTCACTCGGCCAAGACGGTGGTTAGAGGCCCAAGACGCTGTGTGCCCGCCTCCACCACGAGGGGGCGCACGTCCCTCTGGAAAGAGGCGGGCAGGTCGCTGCGGGCGTTAGCGGTGGGCAGGGCCTGTGCCCACGGTGCCCACCCAGCCCCACCGCTCCCCCCTCTGCCCTGTCCGCTGGCCCTTCCCCACCCCGAAACCACTCATGCCACACGCCTTCACCATCGCCACCGAACAGAGTCCATTTCTACCGAGTGCATCAGAGCGTTTCCTACGAGTAGCGTATTTAGTGCTTTGAAAACACCCCTGAGGCTAACGTTTTAAAAAATATGTCTTTATTGATGTCAGAGAGGAAGGGGGAGAGAGAGAGACACACATCCATGATGAGAGAGACTCGTGGACCGGCTGCCTCCTGCACGCCCCCCACTGGGGTTGGAGCCCGCAACCCGGGCCTGTGCCCTGACCGGGAATCCAGCCCTGACCTCTGGTTCATCGGTCACCGCTCAACCCCTGAGCCAGACCAGCTGGGCCCCAACGCTAACTCTCAGAGTAAAACAACATGACCAGCGACCCGCCAGCGATCAGGGAAATACACATTTTAATGGAAAAAGACGTAGAAACTAAAAGAAGCCGCTTCGTGCTGAGTCTAACCCGCTCAGGCATCAGGGAGCCGGGCTCTGGCCATCGGCGGCCCCTCCCCACGGCGACCCCAGAACCCCCGGAGGTTAAAGTAGGTTCGGCCACTCAGGGCCTGGCTTGTGCCACCGCAGAGGCACGGCTGGCCGCAGGCACCGGCAGGGCACCCAGGCCCCTGCTCCGGGGCCACGGGAAGTTAGGGGTTTCCATCGCCCGAAGCCGACCGGAGCAGGGCTGCACCACAGGGGAAGTCAGAGGTCGCCTTGAGCCCTGGCGGCTTTCTCCGTGGTTAGAGCATCGGCCGCTGACCGAAGGGTCTCGGGTTTGGTGCCCGGTCAAGGGCACGGGCGCGTCTCGGGGTTGCAGGTTCGGTCCAGCCCTGGTCGGGGCACATGCGGGAGGCAACCAATCGATGTCTCTCACATCCATGTTCCTCTCCCCCTGCCCCTCCCTACCACTCTCTCTCTAAAAATCAACGGAAAAGGTATCCTTGGGTTGAGGATTAACAACAACAAAAAGCAAAACAAAACAAAAAAGTCATTTTACTCTTGAGGTGATGGTGAGGGCCCCGCACACCCGGCAGGACACCTGGGGAGAACGGAGTCTGGGTCTGTGCGTGGCCTGTCTCCCGCTGTGTGTTCAAGGCCTTCGTAAGGACAGCCAGTCTGCCCCCCTCCAGCCCCCACGGCGGCCACTGCGGTGAGAGCCCAGGTCTCTCGGTACGAGGCAGGTCCTAGTAGAGGACCCAGAGGACCAGGCAGCAGGAGCCTGACCACCCCAGCCAGGGGCCCTCCTCCTGGCCCTGGGCCCCCACCCTGCTGTCTCCATTGCCCTGATGTGCCCTGAGGAGACGGGGCCGGGGAGGGGCCAGGACAACCCGCAGCCTGAGGGCACGCGGCAGGACAGTGGGGAGCAGGGGGCCACCCCCAGCCTGGGCCTCAGGGTCCTGTCCACCCGGGCACTGCCTCCAGGAAGCCCTCCGAGGCCCCACCACCTCCACCCCTTGCTGCCAGCCTCCTGCCCCGCCCACCCAGGAAGTGACCTTTCATGGGGCTTTGGGGCCGCCCCTGAGGCTCCCCGCACACTGTTGGGTCTTGGACTGGGAGAGTCGCTGCTGCCCGAGGGGCCCTGCCTTGCCCTAGCCGCTGGGCCGTGGGCAGGATGGCAGTGAGCGTGGCCCCGGGGCTGCCTCTGCTCCCCGTGCTCCTGGTGCTGGCCGCCGCCACCCCCCCGGCTGCTGGAGGTAAGGCCTGACCAGCCCCTGTGGGCTCAGCCCCCCTCCTGCCGCCTGCACCCCTGCCAGGGACGCTCCTTCCCACGCGGGTGGTCGGGTGGGGCCTGGACAGGCTGCTGGGCGCTGGGTCCTGTGTCTTCTCTCGGGGTCTGGTCCTTCCACAGGGAGCCAGCGCCCCACAGAGGGACTGGCATTTCGCTTTTTGCTTTTTAGTGTGTGTTCTTGTTGCTTTCAGAGAAGCAGGGAGAGGGAGAGAGACACATCAATGATGAGAGAGATCACTGATCGGCTGCCGCCTGCACGCCCCACACTGGGGATCGAGCCCGAAACCTGGGCCTGTGCCCCGACGGGAATGGAACTGGCCTGGTTCCTGGGCTGACGCTCACCCACTGAGCACACTGGCCGGGCCTGGTTTGCTTTTCCAATCAGCGGGCAGTTCTGCAGCAGGACCCGGAGACCAGTCACCCCGAGGGGTGGGCTTAGCAGGCACCGCCCTGTGCCCCCAAAGTGGCAGGATTTGACCGAGACGCTGAGGTTTGGACCACATTTCAGAGGGTTGTGTCGCCCCAGGCGGGGGCTCAGCTGGTTGGAGCATCGTCTCACACACTCAAAGGTGGCGGCTCGATTCCCGGTCCGGCACGTGCGGGAGGCAGCCGGTCCGTGCTCCTCTCTCCGGCTATCCTGGGGACTGCCATTTAACTTAAAATTTTAAATTTATTGATTGACTTGAGAGAGAGTGAAACATGGACTTGCTGTCCCACTTACTCATTGGTTGATTCCTGTGCGTGCCCTGCCCTGCGATCGAACCGGGAACCTTGACGTACCAGGATGACCCTGTGGTCAGCAGAGCTACCGGCCGGGCCCTGGGCTGTCATTTGAGAGAGACGGTGGAGAGCCGGGGGGCGGGGGGGGGTCAGGGTGCCCTGCAAAGGGCCGGCTGCTCCAGAAGAAAGAAAGCCCAGCTCCAGCTGCCCCCGCCCGACCCTGGCGGTGGGGAGAGGGCACAGGCCGCCTGGCCTCTCGGGGCCTCCAGGGACCCTTCAGAATCCAGACCCGAACCGCCCTCCCCCCCTGAGCTGGCGCCTGGAGCAGCTTCAGGCTCCCACCAGGGGCCTCGCCTGTGGGGACCTGTCCGCGGGCCCTTCTCCCTGCCGCCGTCCCCTGCAGAGGGGGGCTGCCCCTCCGCCCGGCCGGCGGTGACAGTGCGGGTCCTCCCTGCAGAGGTGAGGCAGTCCCCCCTCTACACGGTCACCCCAGAGGGGGGCTCCATCAACATCACCTGCTCCGTCCGCGTGAACGGGACCCTGCTGGGGGTCCACCTGAGGCAGAGCCACCTGCCAGCTGTGCGGAAGGTGACGTACTACGACGATGAGAACACCCCCACTGTGGATGCGCGGTTCCGGGGCCGCGTCGTCTTCTCGGGGACCATGGACAACCTGACCATCACCATGCAGCGCCTGCGGCCGGCGGACACCGGCGCCTACTTCTGCGAGGCCATCGCGGAGGACGGGCAGGGCTGGGGCGCCGGCACCACGCTGGTGGTGACAGGTAGGCGGCGCGCCCGCCCTCGGGGCCCCTGCCCTCCCTGCCGGCCAGACCGGCTCTCCCTGCCCCTCCTGGGCTGCTTCCCCCCACTCGCGGGAGTTGTTTCCTCCAGCTTCAGCCCGCCTCCTCCAGGGAGCCTCCTGGATTTCGCCCCCCCTGGGGATCCCCCCCCCCCCGACCTGCACCCGCACCCTGAAGGCTCTCATGGACTCTCCCCACTTCTTCCCAGACACACTGTCCCCAGCAGCCAGCGCCTGCCCCGGGACTCAGCCGACCGGCTTCACCTTCCCCGTGGCCCTGGCCCTGGGCTGCCTCCTGGTCGTGCTGGGCCTGGCCGCCATGTGTGTGCTGAAGCGGAGGCAGGTCAGTGTGACCCCTCACGGTCCCTGTCCCCGCAAGCCGGCTGCCCCGGGAGCAGGGAAGGGAGAAAAGGGGCTACATGTCACCTCCCTCGGGGCTCCTGGGGGCTCCCAGGACCACGGTGGGAGAGGAACCCCAGGACTGGAGCCGCCAGGAGCCCCAAGGACTCAGGGGCCAGGGTGCTCAGGGGCTGGGCCCGTCCTGATCGGACGTCTAAGGGGTGAAGCCCAGGTGTGACCGAGTGTGCGTGCGTGTGCATGTGTGCGTGTGCGTGTGCATGTGTGCGTGTGTGCGTGTGCGCGTGTGCGTGTGCATGTGTGCGTGTGCATGTGTGCGTGTGCGGAGCGTGACATCGGTGTGTGAGCCTGTGTGGACCTGTCCCAGGTGGGAGTGGACGGGGAGGTGGGCCCCTGGGCCCCGGTGCCAGCCCAGGCCCCTTTCTCCCTGACACGGTCCCTGGGGGCAAGGTCACGGCCATCCTCGCCCCCGGCCCCCATCACACTGCCTGCAGAAACAGGCTTTCCCTTGCAGATCAGGAACATGTGCTCGGCGAGGGACAGGAGCACGGCCTGTGTGATCTATGAAGACATGTCCTGCAGCCGCCGGAACACCATCTCCATCGCCAACCACTACCAGTGAGCCAGGCCCCCGGCCTCTGCCCCGCGCTGCTCCTGGCGCCTCCTCCAGGAAGCTCTCCGTGCCTGCCTCGCACCCTCAAGGCTGCCCTGCTCACCCCGTGGACTGCCCCCGGCCCCTGGGAGCCGCCAGAGACCAAGCCGCCCTTCCCCTCACACGGACCAGCTGGGCTCAGGCCGGGGGCGCGCCTGGCCGGTGGACTGTGCTGAGCCACCTGCCCTGACCCAGGCTTGCCAGAAGTGAAGGGCTTCTCTCCTCCCCTCGTGGACTCCAGGGTCCCCTCTCAACCAGACCTGGGCTCCTCGAGACCAGGGGAGCCGCCTCACAAACCGCGAGGAGGCGGGAGTCCGCCGGGCACAGGGGGCTGGGGTCCGAGCAGCCAGGGCCGGGGCTCAGCTCCTGCAGCGGGAAGGGCTGGCGAAGGAACCCGATGCGAAATCACAGGTGCAAAGTCGGGCACAATAGCCAGCTGGGCCCTTGCAGGAGGCAACCCATAGATGTTTCTCTCTCCTCCTCCTCCTCCTCCTCCTCCTCCTCCTCTTCCTCCCTTCCATTCTCTCTAAAAATCAATGGGAAAATGTCCTCTGGTGAGGATTGACAAGAAATAAAATAAAAGCATCACAATTCAGAGTCCTGGAAATGGTGTTTTTAAATGAATGACACACTCATCTGTTCTCTGCTACAAACTCACTGCCTCCTCTCTGGTTGCACAGAGCCCCCCACCCCCAACAACTTCAGGCTGTGCACCCCTCAGGCCTCCTCCTGGGCCACCCCGGCCACCAGGAGGGGGACACATACACCCTCAGTCCACCTCCGCCCGCACCACGGAGCTGGCCCAGAGCAGGGGCTGCGCCTGTGTGTCTGGCGACCTCCAAGGGTGCAGGGAGGCGGGGGCAGGGGCTCCGGGTGGGGGAGGGAGGCCAGGAGCCCTGTGACCCCACGAGGGCAGCTGTCCTGCGGCTGAGGACGAGGGTGGCCGCGGGCAGTGAGTCCCCCCAGAGGGGTTCGGGGAGAGAGGGAGGCCGGGGGCCCAGGAGAACCATCGGTTCTGGACGCCCTGGCGGACCCACAGGGGTTGAGGCTGCCAACGTAAGAAATGTCCAAACCTGTAAGAATTTTCGAGTTTATTGGAGCCAAACTGATGACAGTCGCTGGAAAGCAAGGTCCCCACGGACTGAGAGCACGTGCCAGGGGAGGGCATGCGCTCGGCTCCTCGTCTCATAGGTCAGATTCGAAGGCGCAGACGGACGGGGGCTCCCCGAAACCGCCAGTGAGGTCGGGGCGGTGGGAGAGAGCGGGCAGGGAGACGCCTGGGCTGGACGAGAAGTAAAACGGAGCCCTAGGCGGTTTGGCTCGGTGGACAGAGCGTCGGCCGGCCTATGGGCTGAAAGGTTCCGGGTCGATTCCGGTCGGGGCAGGTACCTTGATTGCATGTGCGGGAGGCAACCAGTCGCTGTCTCTCTCTCTCTCCCATCGATGTCTCCCTGTCTCTCCCGTCCCTTCCACTTTTCTCAAAAATCAATGGGAAATGTCCCCAGGTGAGGACTAGCAACAAGACAAAAACGGGAAAATGAAGAGGAAAATGCTTCTCTGAGGACAGTGAGCGACGAGCACGCAGAGGCCCTGGAGATGGTGTTCGGGACGAGATGGCAGCCAGGCCCCGTGGTCCCGTCCCTGGGCAGCGGGGTGGCCTGTGGCCTGGAAGAGGGTCACTTGGGTGAACGGTGTGGCGTCTCAGTTGCACAGAGACAACAGGTTTAGTGACAGATCAACCTGTCGAGGGAGACACCAGCCTCCCCATGACTCACTTTCAGGGAAGAGGCTGTCAGTTCAGACCACCCTGTGTGGTTGCTTTGGTCTCTGAGTTCGAAAGGCCGCCTCCAGGCCTCTCCTGAACTTGTCGGGTTGAGTTCATGCCCTGTTTTTGTCCATGAGGCCCTCGCCAAGGCCGGCTGGGCTGGGTGAGAGGAGGGGTGCAGCCCTCACCTTCGGGTGTGAGCGCCCAGAGTCCTGGGGAGGAGCAGGGCCTCACCAGACACTGGGCCGCTCTCAGACTGTCCGGGCCCCCGCGGGTCTGCGGCCCCTCCCCCAGGCCTCTCCTCGCCGGCACCGGCACCCGTCTGCCTGCCTCGCCACGGAGGAGGTGAAGTTTCGTGAGGCTGCGGTGCGGCTGGGCTGCGGGCTGCAGTCGGGGTGCAGGAAAAGGCTGCTGGGCCTGCAGCACCCCCAAGTTCTCACGCCCCCACTGGCTGAGCATCCGCCCCCGGCCCGCTCAGCTCGGCAGCCCCATCCTCCGAGCCCGATCTCACAATCACACC